CATTCCTCGCTGACGCGCTGACGCCACACTGAAATCTGTGCACCAACTATTCGGCACATTGAATCCGAGAACAAATTTTCAGACATCACGGCATTTCTGGATCTATGACTAGGTAGATCCTCTTGTGTCCCAAGATCATTTTTTGTCCCACAGCTACGACCTCTCCGTCTTGCCTTCCCCTGTCCGTCCCATTCGCTCTTCCTGACGCCCGTAACTTCATGAGATCGGAACTGGAGGACCGATTTGGGATATGGCACTTTCTGAATTTATACCCTGGTGGATGCAGTAAAAGTGGTCATCACCGGGCTTAAATTTAGAGAGAACATTTCCCCACCGGCATGCCATCATGCTACCGTACTCCAACATCCTGTTGTTGCCACCGAATTACATTTCTACTATTCAAATCAACAGAACTGCCCAAACTGTAACTTAGAAATGACCGGTGGTATTTTTCCACTCAGACAAACCCTGTGGAACCCTCGACACTGCCTACTATATTCCGTTGTCCACTGGTCATTTTTTCATTTTTGATTCTGCATTCCTCACTGGTGTCACGCTGAAATCTGTGCACCAACTATTCGGCGCATTGAGTCCGAGAACAAATTTTCGGACAATACGGCATTTCTGGACCCATGCCCAGGTAAGATGCAGTCGATAGACTCATCAGCAAGTGTATATTCAGGAAGAACATTATCCGCCATACATTGCTTTCATCATATCTCCGTTGAGGCGCTGACTGGTATACAAGATCCAGAGAAACTTATCTTGGCTGCCCAAACTATCATTGTGAAGTGCTCGAGATGTGATTTTCCGGACCGTCCAAGTGAAACCCTTGATGCTACGGGGATGCCCATCCAACTGAAAATTTCAAATCGATGATGAAATATGGGGAATTTGCCTCCTCCTCGTCCTCTTTCTTGACCTCGCGCCAAAATTTGTTTACGAGTTGCTTGTGCCGTTGTTTTCCGTTATGTTGCTTTTTTTGACTTGTACTTTAGCACCGCAGCATCTCTGGATTCCTGCTACGAGCCTCTTGATACGAAGGGGCCGTACTCGCTTCGGAGTAGTTAGCATCTTCTTTGCCCCTCCCTGGCCTACCACCAGAAGCAAGAGATAACGGGGAAGGGAGCAAAAAGAACAATTTTTTTTGGGCGGGATCTCGTGATCTTGCGCTTTTACGGGACTATTTAAACGATCCTTAAAACGATATACGTCATTTCAGTCGTCGAGTCTCATTGAGGACGGTGTTATTTCTGATCAGCTGGCCTCGTGTATTTCGACGAGGGCGCTTCTCGCTCACCAAATTCGCAGTAGTTCTGTTGCTTCTGTTGTGCTTCTCGAGTCGTCAGTGTTGGAGGACAAAGTCACTTATTGTCACTTCTGGACCTACATTTCGATTAAGCGCGGAGTTGACTTGTAACCGAATTGTATGTTCAGACTTGACGTTGTGCCTAGCTCGAAGTTCTCCAAATAGAAACGTGGATGCCCCGAAGGTATTAACTATCGCCAAGATTTGGCCACTCGAGAAGAAATCCACGGTGCTGTCCTGATGCTCTGTCGACGTTGGCCCAGTCCCATTCGCTTCACTTTCGATCCACATGGGGAGCATTCCTGAGACTGTGGCATTCTTGGATCTACGATTCGGTGATGGAGCAATGATGGCCATATCGTTTGTACATCCGATGATGGCATTTTCTCGAGCCGACCGCTCCCATGGCATCCCAGCGCTTTTGCTAGCATTGATCTGCTGAACTGTCTCGTATTTAGATCCCCGCAAACTCACTATCACTGTGATTACCTTTACCACATTGAAATGGCAGATGCCTTGTCGAGAAGCGATTTCCGAGCAATCCACCTGAAGCCGCTGAAGTTCCCGCGTCTACGTGAAGCAGTCTATCTCTCAGGCGCTTCACACTGACAGTATATGATATTTTTCCCTCTCTCCCTCCTCTTGTTTTGACGTCGCGCCAAGTTTTGTTTGCAGGTTGTGTATGCAGTTGTTTTTCCAGTTTTCTATTTTTTTTTTTTTGTTTTGCTATGGCACCTCACAACACCTCTGGGCTCCTTCTACAACTTCAAGCAGAAACAGAAAATGGCCCCTTGATATTGATCAGCATCACCTTCGCTTTTGCCAACTTGCTAAAAGAAGCAAAAGATGGGACAAAAGACGGTTTTTTCGTGGACTAGTAGATTATTTCCGAATATTACGCCAGGTTTTTCGGTATAGGTAGGTTGTGTTCATCCAGGTCACTAGTGGAAGCCCCTGTAGCTGGCATTGCGCCGGAGGATGGACGTGGGTTATGGCGCTTGTGGACCTACGCACCGGTTGATGAGAAATTGTCTGCATTCATCACCTGACGTATGTTCACTAGTGACATTTTCCCCAGCTCGAAGTTCTCCTAGCATGCAGGCGCTTTGCTCTCTCTTCCCAGTAAATTGCTGCATCCAAATCTAGCCACACCGACCGACCGAGATAACCGAAACTACCCGCGTAAAGTCATCAGCATCACTGAGACATTCTCATGCACCTTGGGCACAGACCTGGGTGCTTTAGGCCTGTTTGCCTACTTCCTGCTTGCCTACTTTTGGGTTTCGCAATCTCCCCTGCCTGCTGCTCAGGGAGACCGCAGTTGAGCTACTCAGCGATCATATAGGCCCGGATTATGGCATTTCTGGGTCTACGTCCTGATTGATGCTTAATCTTAGTCGTCACAGGACCTACACCTGGCAGTGCCATTTTTGTGGTTTCCCAACTCGTTGTTGTCACCTTCTGCTGAACTGACGCATACACATCCAGCAATTATCACTATCTTATCGAGATTACTCAAGTGCGAGAACTTCTTTCGCTTCACCTCTCTTCCTACTTCGTATGTTTTTGTTTTCTTTTTTTTTTGGCACTTTTTGGCACTATATTTAGTTTTTGGCACTTTTGAGCCTGGCCTCGGCCGAAGTTTGTGGTACGTTAATTACCAAGTCTACGTCCAACCACCCAAGCACCTTACTGCCACTGCATGAATCTACGTGAAGCCATTTCTCGTTATTGAAATCTACATGGATTTAGACTGCTGAGCCTTCTGCACTACTGTTGCAAGAACTAGCGTTCAACTGTTCAGTGAAAGCAGGACTGGGTTATGGCGTTCCTGGATTTATGCTCCGGTAAATGCTAAATTATGGTCATTACCGGGCATTTATCCAAGAATGGCATTCCTCCTCGCCCACTCTTATGGTATCCTCCTACCACTAACCTGCTGCTGTGCCGTGGAAAAACTCATCCAGTTACTCAAACTATCACTGTGACCCAAACTACCTGTGTCGACGATGGCGTATGCTCCTTTTCGTTGACCTGGCGCCTAGATTTGTTTACAGGTTGCTCATGCTGTTGTTTTCCAATGTCCTCTTTTTTTTTGGTTTGCTACTTGATCTTCACAGCACCTCCGGGCTCCTCCCACGCAAGCTTCTTGGATAGGAACACATTATAGGTGGAAACCCCTTGGCTAGAACCAGTCTTCCCTTCCCCATTTCGCCACTGCAAGTAAAGGATAACGATGGAGGGGGAGAGGGCAAAAAGACAGACTTTTGAGAGGATCACTTGGTCCCAAGTCGAACGAAACTAGGGGATCATAGAGTCCTCTCAACGAGGATATCAATCAGTTTCTTCCGAAGCTTCCTGCGCTCAAAGTTCGTCATAGCACTTTTCGGGCCGACACCACGGAACGTAAGTTACGGCACACCGGCTTTCAGTTCAAGAATGATTTCTCATCACGCTACCAGCAACTACGTGTAGCTTTTAACTCCACTGATAGTTGCGAAAGTCTTGGAAAAAAATCCAAGACTTTCGCTTTCCTTGGCTTTGGTCCTCCCGACCAAAGCCAAGGATCCAAGACTTTTTCAACTGCTCATTATTCATTGCTAATGCGAAAACTCCTGGAAGCGAACACATGCCTGGACAAGGCACTTCTGAATTTATGTTCTGGTGATGCAGATGAAATGTGCGCATCACCGAATGTACATTCAGCAGTGATTTTTTCCTGGCCCAGTGTTCTAAATGTTATACCTTCACTGCTGCCGTATTCGGACCTTTAATCCAAACTGCCCTTGTGAAGCCGTCAGCTTTACTGAGGCATCGTCGCAAAAACAGTTCATGCGCGGCCCTCGATACCGATGAGATCCCATGAAGTCTCCGTCACCATTTCCTTGTCCCATACCCTGAGGTTGAGGCAGATGGACTGTTTTCTCAATAGAGTCTACATCTATTTCGTCCTCTCGTCAAAGCTGAGTGTACTTGTGACAGATCTACGGCACCAGCAAAAGCCACATGTCATACAGCAATGAATTCAAAATGTAGAAAAGGATTACTGTCGGAAAAGGCTGCGATGTAATCCATTCACTCGGAAAATTTTCTCACTTATGTTTTTGCATAAAGAATTACGCGGATTACGTCGCAGTCTTCTGGCGGACGCAATGGTTGGCCGCATTGGTGCAGTGGTAGAACTGATATTTTAATAACATAATAATCATAATTAGAATGTGTCTAGACAAGCAGGTTTCATTATTTTCTTATTTACATGTGTATTTGGAAGAGTGTGTGCGTACGTGTGCATGCATGTGTGAGTGTGTTTATGTGTGAGTGACAAGAATATTAATGGATTCCACTTTTGCGCGTTTCTCAAAAGT